AAGGAAGGTTAGAGGTTGTGCAGTCGGAATATCCGCCAGGGTCACAGAATAAAAAGAAAGCTGACAGGATCGCTTTTCTAAATGCTGATGACTCCATAAGCTGAATAGGTTTCGGTCAGGGAGTATTTTTTTCATTACTCCGACGCTCACTGAAACTGAGCTGAGAGTTGTCGTCGTCGACCGACCCCATAGAAAGAGTATCCAAAATAGCAGCACACTCTTGCTGGTATGATGTGGGCTGCAAACTGTTGCTATACACAACCTCTCTTACAGGCACAATAAATAGTTATAATGAAAATTATTCCCGTAGCTATGCAAAATACATTACATGCTTTAGTAACGCTTGGCACTAGCCAGGGTGCACACAGTTTTAAATTCCCAAGAGTTCCACAAAATTTCAACTCAGAGCTCTTTAAAAAAAACCACAACAATATAATACGGACAGAGGTACGTAGGTAAGCAGCAGCATGATTGTTAGTTATCCAGTCCAATGAAATAGAGATATGGCAAGACAACACTGTAATAGGGCTTGAAAGTGCTACGTCACAGCATAGCAACAATTTTCAAAAATTCAAAAACTGGATCCACTTGGATCCAGTTTTTGTATGGATCCAAGCACATTTCAAGCCGGCTTAATCACAGCAAGGTGATGTGGCCAGTGAAACTGACTGATTTGGCTACTGGGGGCGGGGTTACAACTGGTGGCGAAGTAAAAGTCACCCCTGCATACGACATGAGTGGGCTGCTATGCACCCACATACTGAGGCAATAGCAAAGTCACACCTTAGAGGATCCAAAATAGAAATCTGATGTCAACTTACTACTCCCTGGCCGTTTTTGACGTCATCACTTTCAAGCCCTATACCGCTCATAGTCATACAGCACCCTCTTCCTACATGTACATGACTGTATAATTATTATTATAAAGAAGCCTTGCTTGGTAGTTTAACATGTTTTTCGACTTTGACAGCATGTTACAAGGCGAGGACGCGTAGTGCTCCTGACTACAATCGGTTGGCAGAGTCCCGGTTCCCAATATGGTTCAAATCGTCACAAGACCGGGACTCTGCCAATCGGGTTATGGTTGAACTTGTAGTCAGGAGCACTACGCGTCCTCGCCTTGTAACAAGTTACATGCTGCCAAAACCGAAAAACATGATAATAATAATAATTATTTTGACTGGTACGTCTTGTAGTACATGTGATCATGTCACGTGAAGTCCTCGTGCATGCAAGACTGCCCAATGCTGGATTTTCGGCCTGCTCAAGATCTAAGGTCTCATGACTCTCTCAATAGTGTATGCATATTGATACACAAGAAAGCAACCCCTCCTTGCTAGCCGCTGTGCGCGCATGGGTAATTCGATCACAAGGGCAAGTTCAGCGGTGAAGCGGACAACGAATAGTATTGGTTGTGTTGACCCATTTGCCATTCTAGGCGTGAGTGTGTGGGCATTGCTTGTATGGCATTAGTATCCCTTCAGTCAGTGTACACCTCCACTGTTTAAAATGAAGCCGCGGGCATTCATGGCAATGCTGTTGGCAGGAATCGCCTTCTTTCCTTCAGCTCCTGTCGGCGCAAGAAACATTCTAAGAGGAGAGATTAGACGCCCCGGATTTGGATATGGAGAAGGGAATCATTTCGAGAAGGAGCGAGGTGAGAGAGTACATTCCGGGAGACACGGGCACGCTGGAATGAATGGGATTGCCCACGATCAGGGGCCTGCATCGGGATTCAATATTTCATTCACTGATCGCACCAAATCCCTGGAGATTTTCGAAGAGGGGAATGAGCACCTCACAACCGGAGGGAGTTCGTCCTGTGCGCGACCCGACCATCTAGCCTACAATTTCACGCTGCCGGACTGCAACGGTTGCCGAGGGTTACGCATCACCCTGGACAACAAGAACGCGACCTGTGCAAGCAGCGCCAGCATCTCCACGGGTCATCTGGCTTCAGCGGTTTACTACAGCTACGGGGACTTCGAGATCTACGCGAGAACAGGCCATTCGCCAAGCGGCGGTGATCCACCTCAAAACGTGTTCACGTGTTTTTCGGCATACACGTTCGGACGCAGTCGAGACGGCGTACATAACGAGATAGCCCTATGCTGGCCTGGTGATGATCCGGGCACAATACACATGGGTCACTGGAACGGCAAGAATGGGGATCACGAGCATAGAACCGATCTCAAGCTGGGCTTCGATGCATCCGCTGGCTACCACCGGTACAAGTTTCAGTGGCGACGGGATAGCATTACCTACTTCATTGACGGAACGGAAGTGCACAGAAGCGACGGGGATACGATGCCATTCGAGAACCTTAGCATGAGAATCATTCTGCGACCAGACAATAAACCCAGCACATATGAAGGAGACGCATTCATGACGGTCAGGTTCGCGTCTTACGTTCCAGAGCCACCCAGCAACGCCGAGCGGCAGTCACGTCAGCTATACGACTGGGAGAGGTCCTAACAGGCAGCGTCCATACACGAAAGAAAACAACTTTAACCATCGTCTCTTATTTCGTATACGCACCATTACAAGCACGGTTCTCAACATGCCACATAGTGTGTCCTTCGCCTTATACCATGCTGTGGATTGTCCGCACACATTGATATCGTTTAACCGTGCAAAATTGGTTGTGGGGTGATAGAGCACGCCGATGTATTCATTACACTGACGGTATCCCAACTCCTTAATTACCAGATTTTGTATGTCTCGATCTATTTCCTTACCCTATCCTCGATTAACTGCTCCCTCTACATAAAGTGGTCATTTCATTCTTCTTGCAGGATATCCCCTCGACAGGCCCAAAGCCTTTGGGAAATCCTTAAATATAATAAAATACAAATACAAGTACAAAATAGAACTAGAGAAGAGAAGTAATATCCATCAACACGAGAAATATGTGACCTTGTGCACACATAGAAGGAATGGCGGTGCAGCAATATTACTGAAATAACAAGCTCTTTTCCGACTGGATGAAATAGAAAAATAGACATCATGTTTATTAAAAGTCAGGGGATATATTTTGTTAACTCGGCTGGTAACCAAGGTAACGAGATCTTAATAATTATACAATCAGATTGTTCGACAACAAGGTGGTGGAGTGTTATTCTTTACTAGTAACTTATTAGTCCTTTCTCTTTACTTATAATATCGGCTCACCATCCGAGTTTAGCACACCTGATGAGCCGTCACCAGCAATACGGCGAAACGTACAATGTATGTCGTGTGAAACTACTTGTCCATCGTGGCTACGTCAACATTGAGTTTAGTAAGATACCGTAGTGACGTTCGGTTTTTAACAGTAACTGTTCGTCTTCGATTGGCTTCCCCTTTATGCATTTTTACATACTTTTGAGCCTCCCAAGTTGGATGGCCTTGCGTCGTCGAGTTGTAATTAGACCGGGTTGTCCAATGGTCTTTGCCACACCAGACTGGCTACGAGTGGCAGCCGGTGTACGCCAGTGGCTCGAGAAGATCGACAGCTAGGGCTACAAACGATTCCTGCGCCTGTACCTGGATCACTTTCAGGCACCCACCTGGAGCCGATGTTAGTCTCGTCATCATCAACCTATAACGTTCGACATTCGTTGTCGCCGAGGGACCTTTGTTGCGTCTGCAGCCACCTTCATCATGAAGTATTCTGTTCTCGAGGTTCGTGGTTTCTCGTAAAAAAAGAAAGGAAAAACCAAGCTCGAATCTTCGTGGCGCATCTCTTCCCCTCATTGGAACTTTCCGCACCCGAGCCTTCCAAGTTGGAAGGTTGTTGGTTTACGCTTCGTGGATGTGTTGGAGGCAGGTGTCAGGTCGTCGAATGTCTCAATATCCTTGTCAGTTGTTGTGCCTTGTTGTCGCACTATCTGACTGTGCAAAATCTCGTTACTGTGGTGGACTGTCAGTCATAACTAATAATACATTCTCTCTACCCTAATCTCTATCTCTCTCACTCCCCCTTTCTCTCTGCCGTGTTAGTGACCTGTTGCTCGTGCATGCATGACTGAACAACCCAGACCACTCTAACTAAGCGTCAGGGCATTGTTGTATCGCTAAAATACCTATACAACGAACAAGAAAGACAGAAAGAAGGTTTTCCCAACATTCTACTGTACAGATAAAAGATACAATGAATGAAAACATGTCATCGCCCAAGCCAGTCGCACCTGCTGTGGTTCTGGGTTTGCATGACATTTGTATTGTATTTTCATCCATTGCGTTTCTTTTGCCCGTAAAAGAGGCTTCGCACCTACAAGAGAGGCTTCGCACCTACAAAAGAGAAAGAAAGACATTTCCATCACAGTTGTTTCTGTGTCCATCACCACTTTACATCTCAATAAAACCTTCGTAACATGCCGCCTCAGCTGATTCCGTTTATTGCCAACCTACTGTGGTTAGTCATCGCTCCATGGCGTAGTGATAGATACTCACGCGACAGATATACATTGCTTGAACAGGTTCGAGAAGTTTTCCAGCTTCTAGAGAGAGTAAAGGTCTGATCGTCATGAAATCGTCAAATGGCACATCAGAACTACCAATTCGGTCTCACTCGGAATACGATAACGGGTGGTTCTTGCATCGTTTGTGCCTGGTTTACGAGCTGCCGCGACTCCCTACATTGTCGTGATCTACAGCGCGGACTTGAAGTGCTTAGAAGTCGATGGAATCCTTTCGTTGGGAGCATGCACATTGCGAAAGATAGTGCGTATCTCAAACACAATGCCATCCGAAGTGTAATCCGAAATGTTTCCGTGTTTTCTATGAACAGCTTGGCTGGACGGACCTCTCACACGATGACATACCCGAGGCGCCTCGGTCACTATGTCATCCCTGTTCGTGAGAGTCTGTCACTGCCTCCGTCACATCCTCTGGCCTTGTCGAAGCAACTACCTATGGTCGAGACGTTTCCAGCGAAGCCGAGGATCGAACTTATCGCACATCTCACGCACTTATACAAGAGCAAATGTTTCTCCCAGCGATGGTGCAGGGTATTCAGTTCGTACGTCGGGTGCCACCACATCGCGATAGCGCTACACCTTGCGAGTGGAGTTAGCACGTTCGTTCCACTGAATGAATAGAACGGAATGGGCGCTTCTACCACTCAGACACTACAACCTAGTTTTGAAGGTCGTTTCAATGCTTTTGATCAGGACTTCGTGAAGTTCCACTTCAACCTTATTGCAGAATGTCAGGACTGCCAACAAGGATGATTGACAAGTCCCAGGTCATAGATGTAGTAAACGTTAGCCAGTATTGTTAGACTAATTGTTTTGACCCTGTAAGCACACATTCACACCCGCACAGTATGGCCTGCTTCAGCAAGTCGAGGAGCGCGCTGCTTGCCATTTGTCTGGTGGTGATGTTATGTGGACTTGGCTGTCAGGAAACAGGTACGGCCTAAAAAAGCTTTCTTACTGTCCATGCTGATATTCGCAGGTATTAATCTTCTTGGGTGTTCTGCTAAACTCCAGGCGGACATGTCTGATTTGGGAAAGGTAGTATTGCTTCGAGCGACTCAGCCGGCACAATTTCGAGAGAGGCTGTGCGAAACGCTACCGTTAAAGTGTTGCGTGATGCTGCACGCATATACAAATTTACATGTGTGTCTAAAACTATTGTGGATACTCAGCTGATTTGTGCATGCTCATCGACTGGATGTACATGTATACATTACGTCACACAACATTGGATCGAGTCATACAAAGCATGTACGTGCAGTGCTTTTCCTAGCATAATATCCTGGTACATCTTCTGCATGTAGTATCTCGCATATCCTGGGGCGCTCATGCATCAGCGGCCAATGAAGAAATTCAATAGTTCTTGTGCAGAAGTTCAACCTCCAGAAGTACAATCACTCTTACCACCAAGCCGAATGAACTACACACGAAATGGGTAGATACAATCATAACGCCTTCTGGAAACGGGAGTGGACATGAACACATGGTATACTATTGACTGGTAATGCTATGGAAAGGTTGATAACAATCATTGATATCTTCCTGATGAGATAGGAAGGAGAAAACAGACCCATCACACATTCGCTTCTATAAATAATTGATAACTAGTAGTTATGGGTGACTTCAACACCAGAAGAATGACATAATTTGACTGCTATACTTCCATAGGAATACCGGGGGGGGGGGGGCCGGGTTGACACTGCTTCAGTTTGTGATAGGAAGTTCGAATGAATGCAAAGTGAGGCGTGCGCTGCATGTATATCTTGGGCATAGTGTACCGAAGACGCACCGCAACAGCATAGTGAAGGATTACAAGTACTGGCATCATACCACAAGTAGGTTACTGTTTAGTATCCACACATACAGTTTGTTTGTGTGAATGTCTGTACTTTTCAAGCTGCACAATCTTTCCAGGCGCTTGATGTCGTCAACCACGGTGATGCGATCCTCCACTTCACGCTCAACGCGTCGACTAGCCCGACCGTGCACGTGACGGAGAGGCCTCCCTTCTCCGATGCCAGCTCTCAGGCGAAACCCTACTGGGGCATCACGGGGACAGCGCCAACGTTTCGCCTGATCGTTACCATTCCGAAGATCGTGGCTTCCAAGAAGACCAACGTCTACATGGTGACTGCATGGAACGTTCTTACTGGTGCTACCCTGGCAACCGCCAACCTGACCATGTTAGGTGAGTGAGTGGTCTTCGATCATGATTATCATTACGAGGACTTAGCAAAAACAGAACGATTACGAGAGAGATTGGTTCCATATGCTAGACATCAACCAGGTATAGAGGAAAGAGCTGCCCATGGAAATGAAGACAATATCCAATATTAGACAGTTCATAGACCATGTTAAATGTCATGCCAACGTTGTAGGCTCGCTCGCCTCTTTTGCTATCTTATCTCGCCGCTCTCCACCATGGTCAACATAGTGATACATTTCACCCAGCTGATGCATTATTTTCTTCCGATTATCATCTTCTTTCCTTCATTTTTTTCTTCTCTTGCCATGGCTGGCTAACGCCCCCTCCTTTGCATTGGCTTCTGCCATTGGACGGTGAAATAAATAAAATAAAATAAAATAAAGAGGAAAGAAGGAAAAGCACAGCCACTACTATTCTGATTGTGAACTGCACGCTTTCGCGACCGTAACAAGAAACAAAATGTGCACCCCCCCCTCCCCCCCCCCCAATGAAACCCCCCATTTCCCAACAATTCGTACCACTGCATGTCTTTTGTGGACTCGGATGGAGAGCCAAGGATAAAATATATAGTAAAGAAAAAAGGACCAAGAAACTACAAGTTACGCTATAATTTCCACTAACACCACCAGTTACTAAACAATCAGCTCAGTTGTAGAACGTCAATACCGTCGGTCAGTGTCGTGCAATGTTATCTCATGAGCTGATTGTTTAGTAACCGGTGGTGTTGGTGAACATTATAGCGTAAATTGTACGTTCTTGGTCCTTTTGTCTTTACTGTCTTTTAAATATGACATAATTAAAAGGAGAGTGGTAAATGTTGTTGGGGAAAGGGAAGGCGGGGGGGGGGGGGGGTACATTTTGTAAC